CATCTACCTATTGCAATTGGACTGCTTAATGCATCCAGTAAACAAATAAGCATAATATGAAATTTCAGGATCCAATAGAAAATGGTGTTTTTATTTCGAGTGAAAATTTGTTTTTAGAATAACAAGAAAATACCAGGTGATTATAGCAGTGCGCTTTACTGGTTAATTTCTTCAACATTTTAAATGAAAGTTTCAACAGTACTCAAGTATATCTGTGATCCTGGTTGATGGCTCACTCCACGTGTGTGCTGCAAGGTGTTGTGTCTGTTGTGTCTGCATGTTCGAGGTAAACATTCAGTTCCTGGGTGATCCTAAAATCAGAGGCAACGATTTCTTTCTGAAAAAAAAAACCACTAAGAAAATGACATAGGGAGATAGGGATGCTTTTTTTTTCTGTTTACTTGTAAAATCAGAAAGCCAATGAACTGTAAATTAAAAATTCTATCATCAACGTAAAAGATACTTATCTTTGTTGATACCCACACCCTCTTTCTAATGAAAATTATCTGAGGCAGTGTCACAGTTAGAAAGTTATAATGACCAAAGATATTGGAGATAGCTATAATGACTAAACAATCAAGTACAAATATGGACGTGTTGCTTTTCGCTATAAAGTATACTGAGCTTAGAGAGCTAGATACTACATTCTGCATTCACAGCCCCTTGCCCTGTGATCAGTACAGAGAAATCGTATGGCCCCTTTCACTTATTTCCCCCCATCCGCACCTCCTCCTTTCTTCCCTGCCTTATTTTCTTTGGAGGAAGAATTGGGACAGACTGAGAGAGGCCAGTTAGAAATCTATTACTCTATTGTGTGTGTGAGAGAGAGACAAAGAGAAAGAGACCTTAGTTACTATACTGGTCAGAGCACACCATACCTGTTTGTTCAGACCTATTTATCATTTGTCCAGGGTTTCTTATTTTTAACAAAATATTAGTGTTAATTTTTCCATTAAAGCCATCAATTTCCAGTTCAGCAGGTATATAGTATTTGTATTTCTGCCATCTGTTATATGTCCAATATGTAAATGTTAAGTACAACTCTCAATAGCCATCTACTTTTATTGATCCTCTTTGATTTCAGGATAACTAATATTGATCTTCTGATGAACAAATACACAGTAGGATCACTGACAAAATCAGCCTCCCTTGGCTATGAGCAGCCTAGATTAGGCACTGCTGGAGTTTCAGGTGGTCATCCGGAATGCTTCTGAAACAGTAGTTTCTATCAGATGCTTGATAGAAGAGCCTGTATTGCAAGGGCAGTGAGTGAATAAAAAGGTAGATATACAAAATTTTGCAGCAGTTTAACACAGAAAACACTTTGCAAACACTTGTCAGAATAGTTCTGTCATGCACTAAATATTGTAAATCTAAAAATATTAATTTTCTTGTTTGGTAAAGCTTCTTATTTTTAAATAGGGTTTTTTTGGAGGTAATAAATTCAAAACATGAAAATCACGTTTAAGAAAAGAATTAGTTGCATTCACTTTCCAGACAAGTAAACAGCTAATCGGAGCTTAGCTAAAGATTTGTCTGTGTTTATTGTTCATCATAGAGACCACAGTGCAGGTAAGAGTCACTAGAAGATCAAACAAATCAATCACTACTCCAAACTTTAATACTTTAATTTTTCTACTTATATTAGTTTTCTGGCCATTTCAAAAGTGTAAGCTTCAGCTACTCTCAAAAAGAATTTTAAAAACCTGGGGATACTGGTCAGTGAACAATGTCCTTTTCTTGCAGTATGAAGATCTGAGTTTGGATTCCCAGAACCTTTGTAAGAAGCTAGCTGATTAAAAATAAAAACAAAAATGAACAAACAAAAAGCCAGACATAGCAGAATGACCTTTGTCCTTTGTAACCTCAGGGTGTGTGTGTGTGTGTGTGTGTGTGTGTGTGTGTGTGTCTGTGTCTGTGTCTGTGTCTGTGTGTCTGTGTGTGCATACATACAGGCAGATCCAGGAGAGTTTTCTGGCCAGCCAGTTTAGCTAACACCATGAGTGAGTTTCATGTTCTGTGAGAAATCCTGTCTCAAAAAATGAAAGGGGTAAAGCTAGAGAAGGAAGACACATATGATCTCCACACACTTAAATGAGCATCCACACACCACAAGCACACACACAAGGATTTCCTCACACTTACATGAACACACACCAGAAACATACACATAAAGGTTTCCTCCACACACCACAAGCACACACACAAGGATTTCCTCACACTTACATGAACACACACCAGAAACATACACATAAAGGTTTCCTCCACACACCACAAGCATCCACACAAGGATTTCCTCCACACTTACATGAGCACACACACAAGGATTTCCTGTACACTTACGTGAGCACACACATAAGGGTTTCCTCCACACACCACAAGCACACACACAAGGATTTTCTCAGTGACAGTTTCACTTGTGAAGTGCTGCCTCCTATTTTTAAAAGAGTAAGCTTTCATTTACATCACAAGTACTCTTTAAAAATAATTTAACTTATTTCAATTCCAATTTTTCTTTGGCACATATAAAGTGGTGTAGGAAATAGCTCTGATGTCATTTTTATTTAAGTACTATTAGATTGCTCAAATAAGAAAGCATGAAATATTGATTCAAGTAACATTAGAAGTATTTTTCTATTAACCTAAGGGATCAAAATGATACCAAAAATGAAAATTTAGTAGCAAAACATCTGTCTTTTAGACAATTGTATCAATGTCTAACTCAGTTTGGAATTTCAACATTTGGGCTCAGTGGGAAAAGGCACTTGGTACTAAGTCTGGGAATCTCAGTTTGATTTTTCAAGACCCACGTGGTGTAAGGAGAGTCCAGAGTATTCATAGTTTTCTTCTAACTTCCACCCATAAACACATGCACTCAAAGGTTAAACAATGTTGAACACTTAATGATACAATACCTTTCACAATGGTACAATTAAAATTTTGGTAAGTCAAGGACTGTGTTTTTAAAACAAAGGTGGTGAATTTAGGAGACCTATTGTATCCACAGACCACTGGCACATCGTTGCTATGTAACAAATCAATCCTGTATCTGATGGTTTAAAACAACATGTTTATCTCATGAATATAAGAATATCTATGCTGTTGATTGTTTTATTCTTTTTGTCTTAAATTATCTCATCTATCTTTTACCGCTGGGCCTTTATCTCTCCTTACTTCTGTCCATCTTACTTCTGTGTTTTACTCTTACCCCGTGGCTCGCTGGCTGGGTGGTGTCTGGCTGGGTGGTGTCTGGCTGGGTGGTGTCTGGCTGGTTGGTGCCGGCTCCTGATGTTCTACTCACTCCCCTTGATCTGTCTTGCTCCTTCCGCCCCTTCCCAGACTTCTCCCCCTATTTGTTTTTCCTGTCTGCCAGCCTTGCCTATCCTTTCTCCTGCCTCGTTGTTCAGCTCTTATTACACCATTGGGTGTTTTAGACAGGCAAAGAGTCACAGCTTCACAGAGTTAAACAAAAGCAACACATCGTTACATCACTAAACAAATGTTCTACAGCATAAACAAGTGCAACACACCTTAACAGAATATTCCACAACGTATCTATCACCAGAAAGACCAGCTAATACGTAAGTACAATACTTAAGTGTGGGTGTGGGTGCCCAGTTGGGGAAGGAAATGAGGACGTGGTTGTAGGGAGAGGTGAATGGATGAGTGCTTTGCTTGGCTTGGCTTCACAGTTGGGCTGACTAAATTGAGTTCCATGCAGCTGGCATAGTGCTTCACGTGATCCTTATCCTTCTAGGGGGAACGAGAACCTGGATGAGGATTTGCCCCTCTTGTGGTGATACCAAAGGCCTGGCTGAGCAAGCAGAATGCCGAAGACCTCGTAAACCTGGGCTGTGATCCAGCACATCATCACATCTGTTCACATGCCACTGGCCAGAGAAGCCAGGCGGTAGGCATGGCCTCTCTTCTTGGCTGGAGGCATCAAGGAGGATGCCAGGACTCAGAATCAGCCATTCAGTCTGTAAGCCTTCTTGACAAAGGTGTGTCCAAAAGCAGGTATAAGTACTTCAGGGCTGGCTGTGATATGAAATAGTTTATTACATCTCTACAGCATAACACATGATAATAAGAACAGAGATTAAAGGTGCTGAAATGTAATTTACATATGCTTAAAGAAAAGACAGACTACAAATAGTGTTTATAAAAAGTATCCAGTAAAATGCACTTCAGCTTGGCAGGACATGCCTGTTTTCTTTGCTGCTCAGTAGTGACACAGTTTTAAGGTACACATTTACACATGAATAAAAATAAAAATAATGGGGGAGGGGCTGGAGAGATGGCTCTGTGGTTAAGAGCCCTGCTAGCTTCTTGCTCTTCCAAAGGTCAGGAGTTCAATCCCCAGTGCCCTCTTCTGGCCCGCAGGCATACATGCAGGCAGAACATCATTAAAAATAAAGATAAATTCTAAAATTCTTAAGAAACAAAGATGTGACCAGTAAAATTTGAAGTAGACATGTTCAGGTTTTATAATTTGATTGGTCAAGGTACTCAGGTAATGCAACTAATTGGTCAAGCAGGATACTCATTTTCATGGAATTTAAAAAGAAAAAAATAAATGAAGAGCAGAAAGAAGCATTTTGCCATGAAACCAGTTTTCAAGAGGAAGGTTCAAGATGTGTAAGTCTGAAGCTACTGCTATATAAGAGGGACATATCCTAAGTATCTGGATTGGGGTATTACTCTTGGCAAAGGAACAGTTACAGTCATTTGAACTTCTCAATATTGTCATTTGGAGTGGATGGGGGAGATATAAGCATTTTGTATACTTACTTTGGTTTAAGAGACTGGTACCAAATAGCAAACAATAAAAATATTACATTTTAATTTTCTTTGATACTTGGCTGTTCAAAGAGGAGTTCAGTGAGATAACATAGATGATATTATAATATCATTTACCCAATAAACACAATGTATAATTCAACTAAACAATAAGCCTACTAGAATTTAAGGGCAATGAAGAAGTAAAAAAAATAAATATATTCATATTCTATATTGATTTATTTAACTCTTCATGCAAATACTAACTTGTGGACAAGCATAACATACAGTGAATATGCTGAAATCACAGTCTGTACAATACTCCAGCTGAAAATACAGTTTGAGGGGCTAGAGAAATGGCTCAGAAGTTAGGAGCATTTGCTCTTCTTGCAGAGAACCCAGTTCCCAGCATCCACACGGAGTGTCATCACAGTGAGGAAGTCTAGTTCTGGGGATTACACCCTCTCTGACATCCATGGACGTTGCAAAGATGTGGAATATGTGGTCAAAACCCCTATAAATATGAAAATAAATAAGAAATAAAATACTGCTTGAAATGCATTATATAAAAGTAGCTTTTTTTGTACTGAGGATTTAAAATTGGGTCTTGCTGATAACAGGCAAGGAGTCTGCCATTGAGCTGTGTCCCTGAACCTCCCTTCTGTTTCTTTCCTTCTTTGTCTTTTGTTTTGTTTTGTTTTGTTTGTGTTTTGTTTTGAAACTGGGTCTTACAGAGTCACCCAGACTGTCCTTGACTTCCTTGTGTTGCCTGGACTTGCCTGGAATTTGCATCTTCCCCTCAGCCTTCTGAATGCCTGTGCTACCCAACCTGGCCAGTTTTGTACTTTAAAGGCTTAAAAAGTGGAATATTCTAGAATTTTAATCTGGTTTGTGACATAGCACCCTGGTTTGTTTAGTAGGGAACTTAATAACACCTTAGCACCACTAATTAGGTTCTTTGGTAGCATAACCATGCATTCTTATTAAAACACATCTGTGTTTTTCTGTCATTGAAGAGCTAAAATTATATTGTAGCCTAATTTATCTTAGTCATTCCTTGACTGTATTTGAATAAATTGTTGTACATGTGTTTATTTATTATTTTAGAAAAATCTTTTCAGAATGTGATGTAGAATCCTGCAGTGCCACAGCATCCCCTAATTGATAGGACATGTATGGGTGCATCTAGAATCTGAATTGTTAACGCCTCCTGCTTTTGAAGACATTTAGATGTTTACTGTAGTTTAGTTGCATGTCACTACATATAGAACATAAGCACTTCCCAGATAACTAAGCACAGGACAGGCAATAAGTCAGTTAAATAGAAAAGAGAACCAACTAGATTCTTACAATTATTAGAGAACTAATTTTAAATGCAACACAAAGCCTCATTTTCTTTTCTTTCTTTTTTCTTTCTGCCTTTGAAAACATAACAGTTGTACTACTTATTGTTGAGTGAAGCCTTTTCCTTGCCAACTGCTTTGTTTTTTCCCCACCAGTTGCCTGGGCTCTGCCACATTGTAGTCCCCAAATAACACACAAGATGCTGTTTTACTTATGAAGCTGTTGGCCTTGCTTGTTTCTTACTGGCTAGCTCTGACGTAAGTATTTACTCTAAATTGTTAATCTAAGTATTTCTCTTACCGGAGATATGGGTGTGGACTTCTTACCCCTATGGCAGCTACATGATGATTCCCTATGTTTCTCCCTCCCAGAGTCCTCCTCGACTCCTAGTCCCACCTTCTTGCTTCCTATTGGCCAACAGTGATTTATTGACATATACACAGGACTTCCCCATCAACTTAGGGCACTCATTTTAAACTTAATAATGTCTTAAAAAGTAACTCACTCATTATGGCAGGACAGTAAGTACTAGCACTCAGTCTTTGCTCCTGGTAAGAACGTATCTCCTCCACCTCTACTCCGACTAGCCATACTGAGCTCTTTGTGATTTGCACGTCTTCACTGGTCCCAGGCTCTGCCCTTAGCTGATGTACCCTTAGCTTGGCCTCACTGCTCAGTGAAAACTACTGCCGAGCTTCCTCACACTTCCTCCAGCAGTCCTACCATCCGTACATGAATGTGGTCACTTTCCCCCTGTCACATCAGTCCTCCTATGCATACCGACAATCTCTAGTATTTCCACTTAACGATACCCCATTCCCATCTCCACCAAGTACTGCATGTTCTTTTATTCTTTTGCTCAGCAGTTTCCATTCACTTGCTCTTCTTGTTCTAACTTCATTTCTCCAATTAATCAATCAAACAACACACATTTGGTTTTATTTTCCTTTTCACTGACCAAAGTCACCAAGGTCAGAGTCACCAATTCCAATAGAAATCTCTCCATGTTTAACCTACTTGACCTTTCCACAGCATTGCTTGCGTTAGCAGCACTGTCCTGGAACTTTCCTTCACGTGTAAGTTCCTTGACTGTCACCTCAAACTCAGTCTCTGAATTGAGTTTTCCAAGTATTTCCCAGCAATTCATTTCACTTATAACTACCCACATCTTCTCCAGATCCTTTCTTGGCTACAGTATTTAGTAGCTTTCGAGGGTATGATGTATATCTGGTGAAATAAGTACAGTGTTTTTACAAGCTCTATAGTCTGTCCTGTTACTACTATACATACACACACGCATACAGATATACAGATATACATACTGTGTATATATATATATATATATATATACACTGTGAAATTGAATGACATCACAGTATCATCCAAGATAAGTTTAGATCCAATTGTGATTACCATTGTCTATAAAATTCATGAAACACACACACACACACATACAGACTTGTAGGAGAGTGGAGAGAAATCCCTTCATCTTTACTGAACAATTACTTAACTAAAAATAATCTATGAGTCCCTAACTCCTTTTATCTTGTTGGAATCTAACTGGAATTATATTATACAGTTCACAGGTTTTACTATGGAATCTACATATGCTTGTTGGATACATGAAATATGGCTAGCACAAATGCAGACTAAATTTGGGTTTATTTCATTTTGTTAGTTGCTAAAAAAAGAAATTAAGACTAGAGCAATTAATGTTTTCCTATAAACAACACTTTGTCACAACTACATGTCACTTTAATTATTAATAATATAATTTCAAGACAAAGATGTACCTTAAATGAACTTTTTGCAGATAATAAAAGAGAACATAAAAGACATTAACAATGTTTTCATGGGTTACATATTAAAATATTTTGATATAAGAGATTAAATAGAATATAATACAGAGACATATTTAAGGTATTTAATTTTAGCTTACCTAATGTGAAGATGAGATTTTATTAGGTAAATGGTTTATGTTTTGTTTTATTGGATTGTTCTTCAATATATAGATATATTTACATTCATACATTTAAAATGAATATTCTTTTTAATGAACTATTTATTTGATTTAGAGGTAATGCAAAAATCATCTTTTGAAGACAATAATAGAGATATATTTAGCCTTTTGGAATGATTGCTTAGTACCTAGCTCTGTGGAACAGTAAATTATTTATTAGTTAAAGTCAAATGAGTACTTTATTTTTCACATTTATATACAATGTTGGGAAACAGAATTTAAAGGACACATTTACCATTGAAGGATGGTTATAAAAACCAAATTTCTTCTGTGCTAACTGGCCAAGAAGTTGAGGGACCCAGGAGAAATTTTTTGGCAAATCATTTGTGTAGAATATAAAACTTTTTATTCATATAGAATGAATAAATCATTATATGGAGTATATAACAATAATTTCTAACAATTGCACAATTGTTATAATACTAAGATTTATACTTAATTTTGTGAATACATTACTATGATAATACGGCTTTTTAAAGAAGACTTTAAAAAAAACATGTAGACAAGAGCAATGTTATTCTTTAAAAAAATAAGTAAATGCAAGCCCATGGATATAAGCGACTGCAATCTATGGCCTACTGCTGTCATTTGCGCCTGTCTCTGAGAAGATACCCGAAGTGCAACTTTAGAAGACAAAGGCATAAAGACAGGTTCCCTTCCACCGACTTCCTGAGGAAGTGCATGTCACGTTTAAGCTCGTGTCACCCATTTGGATCCCTCAGGAGTTTGCAAAGATGTGGAATGGAATACTTCTCAGAACAATTCAAGAAGACTGTGAGCTGGGGGTCAGAAGCCACCATAGTGTCCCTCCAAAGCCATCATACCCTCGTGTTAGAGAGAGTGAATGGAGCAGGACTGCCTTGGCCATATGCTTTGATACACCATATGCTCAGCAGTTCAATACTGTACAGGCAACATACTGTCAAACACTGAAATTTTTGTCTCTCAGGCTACTGTTACCTTTCTACACTGCGAAACTTCATGTTTAATGTGAAGAAAATCGCAGTTATGGAAAAGGAAGTACTTTTGGCACATCAAATTTTAAGTTAGCATACAAAGTGATGGGTTTCATTAAGGAACTTTCATACATATGTGTCATTGTATTTTGTTTTTATTTATCTGCCTGTATTATTATTGAGAGAGAAAAATAAGCATTTAAAATCCCCACAAAACCATCCTTTAGATTTTGCATCAACTATTTCATAGAAATCCAGTCATAGTATATGAGAACTGTGCCCAAAGACAAGGTTACCTGAAACCCAGTAACAGGACAGATAGACTCAATGACTCACAGTCTGTTTTTAGGGACTTAGAGGGTGAGACACAATTTGAAAAGTATGGATTGTAGCTCCTTGAAGGATGGTAAAGGGCATTCTATACTAAGCTAGAAAACTCATCTAAGGACTCTATATTAACATGCAATATCACTTAAGAAAGAGTTCAGTTGACACTGGCTTTGCACACCAGTCAGCTGACTATCATATTGGCTTTGTTTCCTCAAGGGGGTTTGGTTCTATGCTGGACAAAACGGTGATTAACTTCGTGCTGCTGCTGCTGTCAGATCAAGCTGGATGCTGTGATGCTCTGTGCCTTACAAGTGAAGTAACAGGACTGTTTTACTCGGGGCACTAGGTGAGCACTCAGTCCAGCATTACAGTGTTACTATAATTTCACCAATGTATACGCATAGTGAGAACTCTCCGGTGCCAGTGCCCACACTCAGAGAGGAACCCTTTACATAAGCACTTAGCAAGCTCACTGAGAAGGCACTCTGAACTCTCTGGGGCGTCACTCACAAGCTCTGTCCTCTTTTTATGTCTTTGCCACTGCTGATTATATAACCAAGGTCATGCCAATTAATTTTTCTAAAAGTCAGTTTCCTCATGTTGAATATGGAGGCAATAAATGCCACATTGTTTACTTCACAGGAGTGTCGTGGGAACCAAATGAGGCAGAACATATAAATGTATCTTGGGGATGGAGGTAGTGCAGGAGGGAGAGAGAGAGAGAGAGAGAGAGAGAGAGAGAGAGAGAGAGAGAGAGAGAGAGAGAGAGAGAGATTGATTTTCTGAAGGCTGAGAACAATTTTAACAATAATAACTCTCATAAGCCCTCATTTTTGCTACTGTTTCTCATATTAGAAATCTCATGACTTCAAGCAATAGCAATCAACCTAAATTAGCTGAAGGGAACAAAAGGTGGACAGAGGATAGTGTGGTGAGGACACGGAACTATTTCCTGGTATCTAAAACCAGGGACACATCAAGTTCTCAGGAAAGAACTGGGTCCAATTGCTTCTCCTTTTATCTCCTCTGTTTGTTCTCTGTCTGAAGCATTAAAAAAACAACTAAAGTCAGATTTCTTTTGCCTGTTCATAAACGAAATGGTGCTGCTTCCCAGGGATCCACAGATTGTGTTTTGCAGATGCAGTCATGTAAAGATCTTCGTTTGGTCTCTCATTTTCAAACACAGATTCTAAGAGAATCTAGTATGCTAGACTGGGAATGGACAAGGTTAAGAGAAATGAAACAACAGTGAGATAATGGCTGTTGTTTTCCACGAAGAGCCCCTCCAACCCCGTGCCACTGAAAATGGAGTGTTGACTATGACCCCTCTCTGCATCCAGTATCTCTGTAACTTTCAACAGCTCTTTCCCATGTGAGTGAAAGGAAAAGTAAAGTAACTATGTTAACAGATAAAAACAGGATTTCTCTGACGGACAGAGCCATTTTTTTTTGAGAGGGGAAATAAGATACTTTGACAAAGGATCTGAAAGACAGGTGAAAACTTGAGGGCATCTATACCAGTGGAGTTACAAGAACAAAAGAAGCTCAAGATTCTCTGTTGCAGAAAACTAAAGGCATTGCACTTCTTCCTGAGGGGACTGGGGAGCATGAACAAGGAATGGATGGGGTTGGAAGGCAAAGAAAGACCTCAAAGTGCTGGGCATGGAATCTGCTTGGAGTAGAGAGAACAGACAGATCCCCCTAGGATATAAATCTTGTTTATCAACACTCCCTACAAGTTTTAGTTATTTATTTAAAAGATTTTTGCTTTTAAGTGTGTCTCTGTGTGGGCATGCACAAGCATACTTACACGTGTGCATGTAACTTTGGGTTCCTAAGGAGACCAGAGCTATCAGCTCTCTGTGGAGTTGGAACTCCAGGTCATTGTGAACCATGCCATGAGGTGCTGGGTTTCTTTAAGAACAGTGCACTTTTAGCTTCTGAGCCACTCTTCTGCTGCACCCACAGTTTCCAGAAGAGAATATATCTGTTAAATCATTTTCTTTTCTCTACAATTTGTTTTCTCTGTAGACATTATCCACATGAGGACAGTGTGTGTGTGTGTGTGTGTGTGTGTGTGTGTGTGTGTGCGTGCGTGTATGTGTGCATGAGTATGTATGTCTCTGTAAACATATATGTGATGGCCAAATCTCCTTGAGACAGACAGAATTTTTGCTCAAGCAGAAGCAGAGGCAGAGTCTATCCCACTCAGAATACCCAGAGAAGGCAGGCAGAAGTTGACTTGGAGCTGTAGACATTTCATTTCTATATTCCACCCAAGGGCTTAGCAAGTAATTACAACTCATCCAGTTACCTATTGACAGATGATGAAACCACTGACAATCATTTACCCAAAGTCTGAGATAGTAGGTCTCAGCATAGGTTCAATAATGCATTCCTATGATTAAGGCTTTCAGTGCTTTTCATGAAATCACTGAAGTTATATTTAATTGACACCCTCCAGACCCCCATTTTGTTTATATTTGTTAAATCTCTGGAATAGGTAACTGTCCTTTGCTTTGGAGAAAGATTGTTTTAAAAAATGGAACACTGAATAGAAATGTAGGACCATTTAGTCACATTACTGATGAAAGTAAATTAGAAATAGTGTGCCCTTCAGCTTAGGCTTGTGACAAACATTGTAACAGAGGAAGCCTTGGAGCCCAAACTCCTACCCAGGTATGTCAAAAAGACGAGAAACCCAGACCCAGGATAGCCAAAACAACCCTGTTAACAAGGCAGTGTCTGAAGGCATCACCATCCCTGACTTCAAGCTGTATTAAAGAGCTATAATCCTGAAAACAGCTTGGTATTGGCACAAAAATAGACAGACCAATGGAATTGAATTGAACACCCCGATATTAACCCATACATATGAACACCTGATCTTTGACAAAGAAGCAAAAATTATACAATGGAAAAAAAGAAAGCATCTTCAACAAATGGTGCTGGCATAACTGAAGACTGACATGTAGAAGACTACAGATAGATCCATGTTTATCGCCATGTACAAAACTTAAGTCCAAATGGATCAAATACCTCAACATAAATCCAGCAACACTGAACCTGTTAGAAGAGAAAGTGGGAGGTACCCTTGAACCAATTGGTACAGGAGACTGCTTCTTGAACATAACTCCAGTAGCACAGACACTGAGATCGACAATTAACAAATAGGATCTCCTGAAACTGAGAAGCTTCTGTAAGGCAATGGACACAGTCAGCAAGACAAAAAGGCAACATACAGATTGGGAAAAGATATTTACTAAACCCACACCTTACAGAAGGTTGATCTCCAAAATTTACAAAGAACTCAAGAAGCAAGTCCCCAAAACACCAAAGGATCCAATTAAAAAGTGGGGTGCAGAACTAAATAGAGAATTCTCAATAGAGGAGGCTAAAATGGTTGAGAGGCACTTAAGAAAGTGCTCAACATCCCTAGCCATCTGAGAAATGCAAATCAAAACAACTCTGAGATATCATTTTACTCCTGTCAGAATGGCTAAAATCAAAAACACCAACAACAGTTTATGCTGGAGAGGATGTGGAGAAAGGGGAACACCTCTCCACTGCTGGTAGGAGTGCCAACTCGTACAGCCACTTTGAAAATCAGTATGGAGATTCCTCAGGAAAATGGGAATCAGTCTACCACAAGACCCAGCAATTCTGCTCTTAGGCATAGACCCAAAAGATGCACATTCATACAACAAGGACATCTGTTTCACTATGTTTATAACAGCATTATTTGTAATAGCCAGAACCTGCAAGCAACCTAGATGCCCCTCAACTGAAGAGTAGATACAGAAAATGTGGTACATTTACACAATGGAGTACTATTCAGCAGAAAAAAAAAACAATGGAATCTTGAAATTTGCAGGCAAACAGATGGCACTAGAAGAAACCATTCTGAGTGTGGTGACCAGTCACAAAAAGGCAAACATGGTATGTGCTCACTCATATGTAGGTTTTAGACATGAATCAGGAGAGTGCCAGCATACAATCCCACTTCCAGAGAGTCTGGAAAACAGAACCTTTATCCAGTGACTGATGGAAGCAGAGGCAGACACCCACAGCTAAACACTGAACTGAACTCCTGGAATCCAGTGACAGAAAGGGAGGACTGATGAGCAAAGGGGTCAAGACTGGGCTGGTTTAACCCACAGAAACCATTGACCTGAACAAGGTGGAGCTTTTGGACCCCAGACTGATGGCTGGGAGGTCAGCATGTGACTGACCCAGACCCCTTGAATGTGGGTGTCAAGGAGGAGGCCTAGGCAATCTATGGGGCCTTGGATAGTAGATCAGTGTTTATCCCTGGCATACAAATGGACTTTGACTCCTCATCAATGAGGGATGCTCTCTCAGCCTGAACTCTTGGGTGGAGGGCCTAGGCCCTGCCCTGGATGAAATGACAGACTCTGGATATCCTCCATGGCGGGCCTCACCCTCCCTGGGGATCAGAGTGGGGATTGGGTGAAGGGCTGGGGGGCCTGGTAGAATGGGTGGGGAGGGAGGACAAGGAGATGAAGCTGGGGTTGACATGTGAAGCAAGCTTGTTTTTAACTTAAATAAAAAAAAAAAGAAGAGAATCCGACATAGATGTCTCAGTTGGATCTGTCCACCCTGTGAAACACAGAAGAGCTTATGTCTTAGAGTTGTAGAATAAAATGTCTTCACCCTTCATTCCACATATAGCCTAAAACACCCCATATGTGGCCCAATAGGGTGTTGATATTCAACAAATGTTTCTAAGTTCCTTAATACCTGTGTGGGGAGCAATGTTGCGACCATCAATAAGTAGGACAGAATAGCTCTGGGTGCTCATGGCATCCTTTGGACTGGGTGTGTCCTTTATCAGTCCTTCTGTCGCAGTCCTGCTGAGAAGAACAAGAGACACACATGTCAGCCTCACAGCTCAGCAGAGTCCTGCAGTGAAAGGAACACAGCTGAGCCAGCAGGAAGCCCAAACGGAGGGGGAGGTGTCACCGGAGCTATTTAAAAATCCAATGTAGTAAACAAACAGACTCCCATACACCCAGGCCAGGTAGCTCTTCTCGAGAAACTCGCCTTTGCAATGAGCTTGGCCAAAGGCAGGCTCGATCCTTTATTAGACTTTTGACATTTGGTGAAGTCAAACAAACAGTGGAACACAGAAACTCATGTTTGAAAATCACCCACTGGAAAAAAAAAAAAGAAAATGTGAATGATACTCACACACACATACGGTCTTATTGTCAACAAACGACAAGCAGATAATTCACCCTGAATTTGGCTATCACGTAATTTGTCCTCTTTAGATCTTATCCACAACTCTTAATCGGAGGTCCTCAGGGTCCTTAGCTATTCCTTCCATCTTCGAATCTTTCTCTAATTTGGTTTTAGTCTAATCCCAGTAACTGCACTGCAATTATGAGCATAAGACGGGACAATTTTTCACATCGTTTTATTCAATCATCACAGTCCTTCTGAGATGTACTGTTTTAAAGAAGAAGCGCTCATAGCTGTTAGAATGGATGGAAAACAGCCTTAGGAGGAAACTGGACCTCTTAGAAAAGCCTCCTCAGGCCAGGGTCTGCCTCTGCCTGCCTTGCAGACCTTGGCCTTCTTACTTTTTACTCTTCCACTCCAGTCCATCTAACGTGGAGGATCCTTGACTTAGCCAGCCTCAGCTCTTGTCTATTGGCTTGGCGTTCCGGTAAACAGAATCTTTCCACAAAAATCTAGTTCCTTCTTGTTATCTGGTTTGTAGCTCTTCTTCTTCTTTTTTTTTCTGTATTGTTTTGGAGGTTGTCCTGGAACTCTCTCTGTAGACCAGGTTGGCCTCGAACTCACACAGATCCACCCGCCTCTGCCTCCCGAGTGCTGGGATTAAAGGCGTGCGCCACAAATGCCTGGCTAGGTTTGTAGCTCTTGTGTATCACAATTCCCTGAATGCTTGGCTGAAAGTTCTAAATGCCCTCCTTGACTAACGCCTTGAATGACTCTTGAGGTTCCTCACTCAGGTCAGCTTTCCAGAGAGTGTGATTGGCTCACAGCTCTACCCACCATAGCTTTGTAAGTAGTCATGTTCTCACTTACTCTCTGGACTCTTGCTAACCAGTCAACCTCAGCCTGGTGGTGATACCAAATGCTAGCCTTTTCCCCTTTTCTGCCTAAGGCAGGATTCTTTAATGAGCAATATCCACACAGAATGTAGTGAGTAGAAGTCCCTTGGGCCTTCCTTCTCCTTTCTCCGTGTTTCTGGGCCACTCTCCTTGGAGACCTCTCACAGTCTGAATTCAGTTTCTTACTACAGCTTTTCCATTGCAGGCTTGGTCACCAAACAGGAAATGAAAGAGACAACGTTTCTTCCCTTTTGAATGCATATTCAGCGAGGGAGGAGATAGGCGATAAGCAATCACAAGAGTGTGCACCACACGATAAGAGTTATAATGAGATTATAGTGCATAGTAAAGGAATAGAGGGCGATGGCTGCCTGGACCGAGATAATTCCCCATCTGATAAGGTGACATTTGAACAGAGATTTGAATGAAATAAGAGAGTGAGTCAAACAACTTTCTGACTAAATAATGTTCTCGTTAGGTAGGAGGGACGTGCAAAGGTTCAGTGAAGGGACTGCATTTGGAAAGTTCAAGCAATTGCCTAGAGGTCAATGAGGCTGAACTCTGGAGAGAAATGGGGAGAAAGGTACATAAAAGCATGGCTGGAAGGAGTGGACAGGGTACATCAAGTGAAACCTTGTAAGGCATTTAAGACATCTTGATGGAAAGTTCTCCAGGTTGGAAAGTGAATGGCTAACACTGACATTTTAAAAGGTTGACTCTTGTTACTGGGAGCATCATTATCCATTGAGGTCTTGAATTGGGGTACATTGCTATAGAGGTATTGTTCTGGGAATATTTGAGAGTAGAGTTTATAGAATTTATTTATTTTTGACAGTTTAAACTTATCGGCCTTGGGGAAAAGTTGTTAGTGTTTTCCTTCAGTGAAACTTGTTTTTAGCCTGTACATACAATAAACAAGTAAAGGTCAGAGTGAGCTGGATTTAACTGTTGAACACAATGGCAGAGTTTCCTTCTATTTTTTTTTAGGGGTGGGGTTTATCTACAAAGGAATGAGTCTCCTGACAGAAAACAGAATTTAAATTGAGTAGGGAGAGAAATTAATCCAAGGCAAGACAGGAGGGCAAGAAAGTGCCATATAGTCAGTCAATGGATGGAGGATTTCTGCTGGGCTGAAAAATTGTTGGTGACTAAGTCCTAGAAGTGAAATGAAAAGATCACAGTTGCAATCAGCATATAGGGAAGCCAGGCTCTTCCTTTCATACCGGAGTTGGTTCCTGCCCTGCCTGTGCAAGCAGGGATGAATGAAAGTACACATTCCCAAGTCCACATCTCCAAGTACTCCCCACATGCCTACCACATTCTGGGGATGAAATTCCCGTACCTCCTCATTCAGCTGCCACTGTCCCTCACTACTTCATCCTGCATGGTGTAAGACTTCTTGGCCTAGAACTTTATCAAAATGCTTTTGTGTATTTGCCAACCATCTCTACTATTGAAATGGCAGCTCATGGAAATCCACAATAATTGGAACCTTGCAGATACCCTAACTGAAATTTGTGCTCACATACAACGATATTACAGGTAGAGGAGCCTAAAACTTCTAAAGGCATTCATGCAGTTGAGGACAGAACGCTGAACTGCCCCAAGAATACCTGGTTCCTGGCGTACAGCCTATTCTCCCACCCCGCTTTGGTAGCGTTCTTTCTTTACGTATATCCCAGGCGACATTTTAAAAATGACATACTATGCCTCCTTAATTTGTTTTTTAGAAACCTCTCCCTCCTTCACCTATGCCTTCTGGGTTTCACCAAAGACCTCAAAAATCACTAGCGTCATCAGGAAATTAGAGCTCCCCAAGTTATTCTGATATTTCTGAGTCCCTTAGGATGTCTTTAACATCCATGTACACTCGTGAGTTAGTGTGCTGCTTGATGATGCTGTCTCATGTCCCCCATAACCTCCTCTTACGTACCTCATTGGTTGTGGCTCCTGTCTGTGAAGCTTCCCAGGAGAGACTGACCATCATTAAAACGAATGTACCCACACCCAGAGTGCTGCTTGTAGATAATTTTGGTGCCTCCATGCTGGGATAGCTAAGGGGTAGAGAAAAAAAACAGCATCTGATTTCATTATCATAGTGTTGTAACTCTTAAAATGGAAAAGCACTGTGAATGGTGCCATCTACAGCGGGCAGGACTTCCAACCTCAACTAATCCACTTAACCCACCACAGACATGTCCAACAGTCCATCTCTTAGGCAACTCTAGGTGGTGGTTCTCCACCTTTCTAATGCTGTGACCCTTTAATACAGTTCTTCATGTTGTGGTGACCCCCAACCATAAAAGTGTTCTGTTATTACTTCATAACTGTAATTTTGCTTCTGTTATGGATCATAATATAAACATCTGATTGGGCTCAGGACCCACAAATTGAGAATCCCTCACTGGTCTAGGTTTTTGTTAAGTTGACCATTAACTCTATCTATCACATCTTCTGTGTCAACTCAACAGCCCCCGCCCCAGTCTTTGCTTAGAAACTCGAATGATCCATCACTAAGGAAAATGGTTTCATTTTCGGACTTGTAAATCTCTAACTGGAAGAAGGTTCTAGGCTCCCTCACTTATTCCTAATATTTCTAGTGAGTCTCCAAACCAAACTCTTCTGATTTATTAAGCAGAAACTCAGTCAGTACAGTTTAAGGGATGGGGCTCACTGGCTGCCTCTGTTAACACTGTAACCAATGACAAACATCATTCTTCAGCTCTTACTCCTCTCTGGTTCACACCCCATCCCCACATATATCTTGACTCCATCTTCTCTGTGTTCTTCCTCCACACACTAATCCATTCAATCCTCAAAGCAACATTGTGAATTTAGTGAGTAGGGAAAGTGATAGTGCCAGAAACAGAGCATTGTAATCTCTCTCTCTCTCTCTCTCTCTCTCTCTCTCTCTCTCTCTCTCTCTCTCTCTCTCTCTCTCTCTCTCTCTCTCTCTCTCTCCCTCCCTCCCTCCCTCCCTCCCTCCCTCTCTCTCTCTCTCTCTGTCTCTCTCTCTCTCTCTCCAGTTCCATTTGATGACTGAAAAAATATAAAATCTTAAAAGTTTATATAGGTCTAGTTCGATCAGTCTATATGTCTACATCTTAGAGTCTACGACTTAGACAATGATGAATGAGCCTTTTGCAGGAAGTGTGCGTCACTTTCGCCCCACACCACGGTAACGTTGTCTGTTGTTTCATTCTTTCAGTACTTCTAGGTCTACCACTTTGATGTCACATTACCTCTGATTTATGACCTATCCTCCCTCACTTGGAAATAACCATCAAGTCACATGTGTCTTCTGATGTCTACATTAAATATCCACATTTTCTCCAAAGGTAATATTCGTGATAATAACATGACACAGTTTAGTTACTTTTAAACCGATACTTAACTAATCCTGTTCTAATTTTTCTCTTGACATATGTGTCTACCCCCTCAGCATGTGACGCTTAGTGCCAATCAGCAATAGGAAGAAGTAACATAGGAAACCAATGACAATATAATGTTAAATGGAAGGAGTCAGCTACAAAAAGCAGAATAGTATATATATGGCTCCTTTTGTTTATGTAAACGTGTAGAAGAAGCAGCAGAAGAAAAATGAGATCAGTGGTTTTATAGGACTGGGGGAATGGAATGAATTGAGGATAATAGCTAACGGATGTGGGGTTTCTCTTAGGGTGTCACAAAGCATTTTACAAATAGTATGGTCATGGTTGTAGAACTCTGTGTCCACACTAAAAGCCACTGAACTACATACTTCAAATGGGCAGATGTTATGGAAGGTAGTTTATGTCTTAGTGTAACTGTTAAAAACAACCATCTGGTTCCAAAAGAAAGCAAGTGTTCTCTTAGCCTATGTGATTCCAATTTTACTTTCTCATTCTCTATAAAGTACATGCTTTAATAATGTCTGTTCCACCCTCGTGACAAGGTTGTTGAATCACGATTCACAACACCATAATTATTAATTATCAATCTGAGTGAGGACTACCATCTCATAGCAGGATTACGGATGTCATCTACTTGTTAGTAACTCATTGATTTTACATATGATGCAAGGAACATTTTTTCCTTTTACACATCTATTATTTAACTTAGGATAATGTAGGGATATAGCACTTATTGTATCAAGTCCAGCTCTTTGTCTTAATAATTACAGCTCTCTTCATTTTGCCCCATACCCTTTCATTCATTGCAGCAAATGTCATTTCAATCATAAAACACTTGTCACCTTCCACGCATACTTTGCCTACTAATCTTTTAGTTAGATAGATATTCATATGAAACAAAATATTCCAAGCTTTGACTGAATGTTAATGTCTCCTTAAAGCTCTTATCCTGAAGCCCTAACCCTGGTGTGTTGATGCTGGGAGGAAGAGCTTTGGGGAAGTATATAGACAAGTCCTGAAAGTGAAGCCAATGGCAGTATAAGAAGAGAAAGGCCAGAAAAAACTCTGCCCCCTCTCTCATTCCTGGTTCTCTTTCCTCTCCTTCTCCCCATGCACTGGGGAGCCAGCGGGAGAACCCACTGGATCAAATGGTCCCTTATCTTACACCTCCCAGACTTGAGAAATGTGAGACATACATCCCTGTTGCCTAAGGCATGTCACCACCACATTCTGCCATGGCAGCCTGTCCCAGCACATGCTCCTTAAAGCCCAGGCCACACCCTGTCATCACTTTCCTCAAAAGTTCTCCCTACACCCAGTCCATTATTTTCTGTCATCTTCAACAGAAGTTTGGCTTCACTTCTTATTGAGGAATATTAAGCTAAACCAGGTAGGGATGCCATATGATATTTTATTAGGGAGACGTCGAGAAACTAAGGTCAGAGCTCCACTGCTCTGGAACCCCAAGAGAGCAAGTGTCCCCCTGCACAGCCTTTTATTTCCCATGTCCCTATCCACCTGTAGCCCAAAGTGGGCGTGGTCATCGGCACAGATAAGATCTCTCCCTACATTTCCCTTTTAGTCTAAAGAAAACATTTAGTCTTGAAACAAAACTAAATTGTGTCAATATACAAAATGTCTCAAATATATGTAAAGCATATATGCATAGAAGATGATAAGGATATTTATGCATAGAAAGAAGACATTATGCAGTATGACGAATTGTGATAAACAAATTATAAATTATAAATTATAAATCACCAGAAGACATAATGGTCTACCTATTTCCATCCTAAGCATATCTATTCCATCTAAACCTAAACTTATCTGAAAGACATGCCCATGTCTGAACACCTCCTTCCAATCCCAACCCTGAACAATTGAAAACTAACTCTAAACAGGTGTAAATTATTCTGCAATGTCAACAGAAGGGAAAGGGGGTGTAGTATTCTCAGAATTACTTCCTGCCGAAATGGGACAACAATAACCTCATTGGATCCTGTAGGAAGAAAATGTTAATGTAGTGAAAGTCTCAAGTAGACTAGCTACAACATTTGTAGCCAGTGTCTGTTTGGTGGAAGATGCTTGAAGTTCTTGATTGAAGTTCTTATTTCTGGCTCTAGCCAGAGTATAATAAGAAGGTGCACCATATCAGTCAATTAGTCTGGAGTTGTCTAGAGTGATGTAGTCACAAACTGGTTTCGGGGTGGTAATCTTCAGTTCAGATACATCAAGTTGGATCAGGTGGAATCGATGAAGTCAGACCCCATTTTCTTACCGGAGTGTTCGAAGATTGCTGTTCGGAAATTCTTTGTTCTCTGGGGAAAACTCAAATGTTAATGTCAACAAAGAAATTTCAACTTTATATGCATGCATACCGGGAAAGGTAGTAATAAGGAAGATAGTAAATATGAGGGAAATTAGACTTTCAGAGAAAGAACCGAGTGTAAACAGATGACAGTCCCTAGATTTTTGTTTCTTCTGTATTACATCAATTGGCTTCTTGATATAATACAGAAACTCTGAATTTCATTTTAACAACATGCTTGGATTTAGAGGAGAAGAGTCATATCCAGCTCCAAAGCCAGGGTTGATTTAAGTGAATTGGGACCAAAAGAGTATTAGGAAGTAAAGAGAAATAGATTTTATAAGGATGTAAGTTAAGAGAATTAGACATTGATACCAAATATTAGATTCTTCTTTGTTGGTTCTTTTGGCTAGCCATCCTCTCCTCTTTAGGTATCTACACGTTCAGTGTCTTCTTGCCTTTTGGAGATGGGTTTTGCTGTTAAGACAAGAAAAAAAACAAAACACTTCCCTTTCCTTTTGTGAGATCTCCTTACACACCATAGAATATGACTTTGTGGCTGAGCTGTCATTTTCCCTCCTCCTGAGGTTTCTCCTGTTCGAACCGAATCTTGATCAACTTTGATGGAATCCAAAGGTTTTTTTTTTTTCTCCTGTGGACACAAATGCAAAATCCCTTCCCCAACATAACATATATCTTGGTTTCCAAACTGAGGTCATTACATCCTTGAAATACACAGGGTGATTTAGTTCAGAAGTTTATTCTGTAGTTCAGTGTCTTTCAGCAACTGTTTGTCCTTTCTCATTATCATTAAGAAAGTTTAATGTTAATAAAGCATATGTAATCTGTGTTTGGGGGTCTTTGTTCCCCCTGGCTGTTTCTTTTAAAGTGCAGTTAGATCTCTCAACCACTGCTTGTCCAGTTATGTGCCTTGTGTTATAATATTTGAAAAACTGTTACAATTTGCTGGAGACATATGCTGGAGAATTGTCAGTTTTTATTTGTGCAGGTATACCCATAATAGCCATCACCTCTAATAGTTGTGTGATAACAGAATCAGCCTTTTCAGAGCTAAGAGCAGTGGCCCATTGGAACCCTGAAAATGTGTCTATGGTATGGTGCACATGTTTTAAACTTCCAAATTCTGGAAAGTGAAACACATCCATTTTCCAAATTTCATTTCTGTGAATACCGTTGGGATTACTTCCTGCTGTTAATGGAGTTGGAATGAACAGGTGGGGCAGTTATTTCCTTGGCTTGTTGTCAAGTGATAGAAAAATTCTTTTGCAAACCCTTGCTATTAACATGGTGGTTATTTTTTTTATCAAACTCTGAAGCTTCTAGCACACGTCCTATTAATAAACAATTAGTCTCATCATTACCTTGAGCTAGAGGATCTGTATGGGATCATATATAGGATGAGTTCTATTCCTTACAGTTTCCTGTAATTGTATAAATAATGAGGTTAATTCTGTGACACCAGGAATAAGTTCAGTGGTCTCAATGTGTAAAACTCTTTCTGCATATTGAGAGTCAGTAACTATATTGAGAGGCTCTATAAGTACCATGAGTACCATGAGAATGGCGTACAACTCTGCCTTTGTACAGAGTTGTAAGGGCTTTGAACTACTTTACTTACATTTCCTGATTTATATCCTAGTTTACCTGATTTCTTTGCATCAGTGTAGAATATAGTGTAGGCCCAAGAACAAATCATTAGATCATTTAAGTGCTGAGATGGGGAGCAGGGACTCAGCGACTCGGGCTAGACAACATCTGGTTCTGACACCAGATTTTGAGGAAGCTTAACCTACACAAGATAGAGATGTCACATGCTATTTTGTTAGGGAGAATTCACTTACATGAGAAGCCAAGAAACTAAGGTCAGTGCCCCGCTGCTCTCCGAGAGTCAGTGTCCCCATGCAAAGCCCTTTATTTCCACGTCTGTATCCACCTGTAGCCCAAAGTGTGCATGGTCATCCCACAGGTATCTAAGATCTCTCCCTACAACTTCTATTCATTTATTTTATTCCCTCCCTTCCTTGGCAAGTTTTTCAAAGGAAGAAAGTTAATTCATTTCACCAAATCACAACTTCTGTAGCCGTTCTCAACAGAACTCAGTCCTTCCTGATTGCCCTTGACTGAACTGCTGCCCCTACATTTTATCTGGCCTTCAGGCTTACCGGAAAGACAGCTTACTGACAGCTGCAAAGGGCCAACTCACACTGGGTTGAATGTTGATTTCATTAATTCTGGAATTCCTGATGAACAGTTAGCATGCCAGGAAACATAGAGGAGATATGAGGTGGCCCAATGCCAAAAAAGTGTGCAGTTCTGGTTGCTCTGTTTTGAAAAATTCTAGGAAAAGTTGAGGCACTTCTTAAAACTGCCTATCTTGTGACCAGCAGGCACGACCCTTAAACAGAATGGGAGCCCACAAGCTCTGCCTTCGCTGAGGTGTTCAGCCTGCTGCTATTGTCAGCACAGACATACCTTCAAACTGGAGGCCAGTTTTCCAAATGAGTTTTAGAAAATATGATTTTCACATGGGAGTCAAAGAGCAATTGCCTAATTTTGACCTCATCAAGGAAGGTATTTCCTTTGCTAGTGGCTCCATCTTCTAACTAGTCAATATTTCTTCTGTAATCACCAGAGCAACTGACAGGGACAGCCCCGACCTTAAACCTATGCTCCTCCCCTTGTGCTGGGCAAAAAGTCTCCTAGGCCTAGGCCTGCACTTGGAAGGATGGATTGTAGTGTATACCAACTGCTCATTTACCATGCAGAAAGTGATGACATGCCCACTGGCACGGGAGCCATCACAGGGTGGCAAACACAGCCTGGCTAGGAATTCACCCGCGCCCTCAAGGCGATCCATTGCCACAGAGCCTCGTTCGTGTGTCTATTGCTCTTTTCTTTTTAAAAAATAAATTCTTTCGTTCTCTGTCAGACGTTTTCTCGGGTTGGGAGGAAATCCTTCAAAATGCATCCCCTCATGAAAAGGAAGGTGAGCACAGATCAAAGGGAAAGCTAGAGGAAAAGACACAAGTGGCAGGTTGGAAGCGCCCACTGATAACCCCAAGACTCCCCCATCCACGATTCCCCCTTGATGGCTGATGGTCCCCACCTCGGGTTTCTCCTGGGCCCGGTGCTCATTTCGCTGTTTCCCACGGTCCTTCACAAGAGCCCACACGTTTTGCAAAACCCTGCTTGGCTGCAGGCGCCGGGCATGCTCAAATGCCCAGGACTGCCTTTCTCTTCCTGCTGGCAACTTTGGCAACCGTCCCACTCGGCACCCCTAAGGGACAGGTAGGCACTGATGCCCTGCAGAAGTCAAAAGAAGGGGGGGATGGGGGCAGGCGACTCTGGTCGGAGAGGTGTGCGAGCGCACCGGGGAGACCTCCCGGGGCCAGCTCGGGAAGCGCCCCGGGCCGCGATCACGCGCGGGCGCGCGGCCGTCGGAGGGGGCGCTGTCCGAGGGCACGTGCGCGGGAGGAGGGCGAGCGGGCGGGAGCGCGCGCTGGGAGTGGTCGCGGGGCGGGCAGGGGCGGGGCCGCGGCGGCGCGGGGACGCCAAGCTCGCGCGGGCTGGGAGCTGCGGCGGCGGCGGCGGCGGCTCGACCACAAGCGGCGGCGGCGGCGGAAGGTGCGGATCGCGGAGTGTGGCCGGCGGGGACGGCCGCCCGAGGCGGCGGCGTGCGGGCTCGTGGACCTCACCTCCAGCTTGCGGGAGCTGAGGACGTAGCGGGGCCGCCTCCGGGTCAGCCTCTCCCCGCGCTGCCAGCCGGCCCCGGGCGCCGAGGGCGCGGCGACGCTCGGCCACCATGGGCTGCACACTGAGCGCCGAGGATAAGGCGGCCGTGGAGCGCAGCAAGATGATCGACCGCAACCTCCGGGAGGACGGCGAGAAGGCGGCGCGCGAGGTCAAGCTGCTGCTGCTGGGTGAGCGGCGCCGTGGGGGGGTCGGGGGGCCCCGGGGCCGGGGGACAGCGCGGGGGACAGCGGGGAGGCGAGCGCGGCATCCCAGCCCCTGCGCGCACGGCGCAGGCGGCTTCTCGGCCGCGGCGGTGACTGTCGCGGCGCGACCCCCCACGGGCAACCCGGAGCGTGGCGGGGCGGCGGAAAGCGTGGGAACCCTGCCTTTGAAGTTGAGGGGCAGACGCTTCGGAGCCCGGGAGCAGGCGTCGCCTCCCCACCGACACCCCGCGGGGAGCGGGGTCCCGCCGCGCGCGCTGCGCTTTGCCCACCACGCCGTTGGGTGGCCTCGCTGGGGGTTGGGGGGGGGGGGTCTCGGTGATCTCGCCTGTCAACTTCGAGTGGCGACTCGCCGAGTGGGAAAGAGCGCCGGGTGCACGTCCCTGCGTAAGGACGAGAGCTGCTCAGGTTGCCGGGTTCTTGCCTGGGTGGGGGATGGAAACTGCCAAAGTTGGCTTACGTTTGGCTCCCCTCGCAGGAGCTGAGGATGCCGCGAGGGTGACAGCAGCCCTGGCAGGTGTGAGGGGCTCACCCTCCACTCCAGGGTCCTCTCTCCACTGCGGAGCCGGCTCCAGTGAGGGCTGACGGGCGCCAGGCAGGCTTTTTAAAATATTCATTCTTGACACTGTTTTGCTGAAAGCCGGTGTGGAGGTCTTCCAATTTTTTTTTTTGACCGGGGGGGGCGGGAGAGTAAATCTGGATTTTGACTGAGTGATCTATTAGGTAAATATTCACAGGTTATGGCTTTCAGATCTGTGAGTCAGGGTTCCCTTTTGTTTGTTTCCCACCCACACTCTAGGTATTTAGGCAGATGACAGATTTCTTAGAACCTTCGTTTGCACTTCCAGCTATTGCTTGTTTTGTTTTTGTTTTTGTTTTTGTTTCCCTAACAGTTGTGATAAAAGAGAGACATTAAGGCACAAATCCGCTTTTTAGTAAGCTCCTGTTTCATTGGTTTAACGACTGCAGGAAGATGGTGGTTAATTTCCTTCTTTCTCCATTACTAGTAGGGTTAGAAGAAGCAAACTTGTCATGACTAAAAGTAATAACGATCTGAGTCATTTTGCAAGCAAACTGTGAAATAACTTTGCATTTTAAAGAGCTGGTTGGTATTTTTCACCCTCCACTGCCTCCCCCATAAATCTTTCTCTGTAAATAGGACTGACCTGAGTTATTTGTATTAAAAAGATACCGTGTTTTCACGAGGTCAGTGTGTGTGTGTGTGTGTGTGTGTGTGTGTGTTTAAAGAGAAACAAGTCGATACTGAGCCATGTAGAGAGCCCCATTGGTGACTTAGAATAAGCACGAAATAAAGGGATTAGAAGGCTGTTGTCCGGTGGTTTCGGTGCACCTGCTCTGAATGTCTTAGTGGACTGCAGCTACTATCCACCATGTTGAAAGCAGTTGTGAATGAGCTCCCCTTGGTGCAGCTTATCTTTAACTAGACAACTATGAAGGGTTTGCGAAGTAGGATTTTTGCTTCTGCAGGGTTCAGAGGGCATGGCATCTCTTCTTAGCACTGTTGACATTTGAACTTGATAATTCTTTCTCGTTCCGGGTGGGTGTCCTGTGTGCTGTAGGCTGTCAAGCAATGTTGTTGCCTTCCACCCATTGGATGCTAATGGTTTCCCCATGCTTCTAATTTCCCACAATGCTCCCGAACGCCCCCTGGAGGCAGAGATGCAAACTTCGCTGAGAACCACCGTTTTGGATTAATAAATAGTAGTGTGTAACAGATAGTTGATCTCTTCAATCCTCTATGGAGAGGTAATGAGAAATGCACCAGAGCCCCGATTTTCAGAAATTATGCCAGTCTTATACCTCCAAACCAGTGCATTAGAGGTGTTGGAAAATGATAAAAACAGACAAACGCCGGGCGTTGGGAGGCTGAGGCAGGAGGATCTCTGTGAGTTCAAGGCCAGCGTGGTCTGCAGAGAGAGTTCCAGGACAGCTTCCAAAACAACACAAAGAAACCCTGTCTCGAAAAACAAACAAACAACAAACAAAAAACCCAGACAAGCAAAGGGCCAATGGGTTCCTTGAGCGTTGCTTCTAGCTCTGGGTTTTTGCTTTTCCTACAACAGTCTCTTCTCCCCACAATTCCAGTGCACCCCGTCTTCTTGCCCTCCACTCCTACCCTGCCTAGACTTTGCCAAGACTTCTGACACCCTAGTTCCTGTGAAACAGCAACAACAAATCTGGTGTACTTATTTCACAAATCTCAATTCTTATAATACTTGACATATCCTCCCCCGCTCCCCCCACCAGGCTTTAGCAGTGAATTCGGACTTTTGGTCCACTTTAGATATTTCGGGCTATGTGCAAGTAGCTCCATGGCCTTGTTCATCCAACATCTAAGACTCGGAAAGCTGGCTAAGAGCATTGTAAAATGGTAATCTGTAACCAATGTCACTTCGAGGTTTTGGAGGTTTTTTTTCCCCAACAATTTACTTTAAATACTTACAGCATAAAAAATTTAAAAGTCTTTCTGTCTGCTTGCATTGCAGTTTTTTTCATGGAAGACTACATTGTCTGAAACCCCTGATTCGTCAGGAGCCCTGAATGAGATTTGGAAATGATTAGTGATTACTTGAGTGCTGGGTGTCTACTACTTACTATTTACAGTATAGGGACCCCACTGTTCCTTAAGTACAGTAAATCAGACGTCAGCAATAGAGAGAGCCAAGTCTGGGCTACTGACCTGAAGGGGATCAGATTGGAGTTTTGTCCATTTAATCGGTCACTTTACTTTTTCAGCCCTTGGCATTTGAATAAATTAAGAGGCTTCCATGGATGGCTGTATGCTTAGCTTTCTTTCCACTATGCACGGACAATTGTCTCAGGGAACAGTGACTTTTTCGTTACATCTTGGAGATGCTAGAATTCATAATTTTAAGGGCACTGTGATTATAACTAGGATGTCTTTCAGTTAGACTATGTTGTACTTCCGGTATTTTTTAAATGAAATTTGGTGATGATTTTTCTAAGATAAGGGTACTAGATTTAAAAGGTACAAGTTTCATGACTTGATTGTCCAGTTGCAATATTTTGAGTTTATTTTTCTTCATCACACCAGTCCGCCTCTTCACACCCAAACAAGCAAATCACGACCCACAGCCCCACCCCCTCCTTTAACTGGTACTGCAGGCCTGGGGGACATCCGGTGAGAAACTTGGGTTGATGGACATCTTTCTGCTGTCCTTCATCAATACTTCCACTTCCTTTGGACACACACAACGCTGAGTTCCAATGGACTTCCCTAGCTGAGGAAGTCTGGCTTGGTCAGACTTTTAATTTTGCATTGCTTTAACTATTTCCTTACAGCTGGCCTAGAGCCTTGGTTATCAGAAAGACTGTTTCCTTGAACAAATGGGCCTGCCATTTCCAATTGAGTTGTGTGTGTGTCTGTCCCTGATATACTTGTATTAGTAGTCACTCTAACGGAAGCCACTGGTTGTGTAATTGTGTGTTTTGAGTATGTTGAGTTTTTCTTCAGTTTTCCCCTGCTCACCTCATCCCAATCCCTCGCCCAGACCTTCTCCGCCTCACACAGCCTTATTGCACCTTCGTTTCTGCCTTTCCCGATGGCCCCTCTTTTCTGTGCTGTCTGCCCCATCTGAAAACTCCTTGCCTTCTCCATTGCCTGAAGAATGAGCTTTTGTTTTAGACCCAGCTCCCCTCTGCCTTTATCTTCTCTGGGTTTCCACTCCTCCAAGAGGAGTAACAGTGATCGCGCATGCTTGAGGTTGATGTCTAGGGCTTCGACCAGCTACTGTGAACACCGTAGGAGGCAGAGCCCTTATGTTTTCTTTGCCGTCTGCACTTTCTTTACTGTCCCTTTACAGAGTCATGTGTAAATGTGTGCTAAATTATGTAAAGTTATGCTGCAATATGTTCTTCATAAATCCCCAGTATCTGCAGGAATACCAGCGAGTGTTAAAGGACTAGTAAAACATGAAATGACCAAAGCAAATGAGTGGTATCGAAAAGCAAGTACAATGCTGTAATATTTAATTTTCCACACTCATTATACTTTCGATAAATCTAATAAGTGCTAGAAAGTGACATTGGCTGTTTATGGCAGCAGAGTGTCCTGTTCCAGCTGCCCTGGTGACCTAGGGGCATTTCTTTTCTGTTTTTATGCTTTTTTTGGTAGAAGTAGATCTTCTGTTTAAGTATTTGTTTTGGGTTCTTTTTTACTTAGAGCCCGAGACTTTTGAAATGAGCTATAATGCCTTCCTTATAGGATTTAGTGAGTGACTTAGGAAATACAATAGGTATCTCCTAGAATTCTGTAAAGATCTTGGTAAAGCCTGAAAATGTTGATTGCAAGCCTTTAAGTAAGAAGTTGAGTACGCAGCTAGAATCTAATTTTTTATTTTGTTATTTGTTCTCATTGCCTGGGACATTTAAGACCAACGCATTCATTCGAGAGGAATGGAGTGTATTGGTGACATTCTCAGGTCACATGTTCATTCCTTGGTCACATGTCTTGGCATGGTTTACCCAGTCTGTACTTCCCTAGGGTGAGCCACTGGTGAAGTTTAGATCCCGGGTGGCATTTGAGCCTATGAACTAAGGTTAACAGAGCACCCATTGTGCTTAGGCTGCCTTTTGGCATAATTTGTTAAATGATGGTGAGAAATCTTAACACAAATAGGAGGAAATTATTTTAAAGTAAATGTTTATTAGTTTATATTAAATGGTTTCAAACTTCAGAAGATTTACTATGAGGTCCTGGGGCAAGGAATTCCCAAATGGATTTCCACTGGGTTCAGAAGGATGTGGACAGGATGTCTCTTCTGGGGGTTCTGGAGATTGCTTTGTTTTCTGACTTTCCTTACACACTCTGGAGGCAGCGGCATGTTTTCATGGGCTTGTAGCAGCCCATGACCTTTTCAGGGCCAGCAGTGGCAGTGGGGTTTTCCTCCACGGCTTCTCTTTTTCATTTATTACAGCTTTTATGATTATATCAAGCTCACCGACAAATTCCAGACTGACAGACCCACTTTAAGACTTACACCTGCAAAGTTTATTGTACCAAATAAGGCAACAGGTCCTAAGGATGGGGCTTGATTTTCACCAATGTGTAACTCCCAAAGATTCGAGTCTACTCTGCATCTGAAATGTCCTTACTCCATCATCTCCACAGCCTCTGGCCTTTACACCACCAATGGAAATGCCAAGGCTTCTCTGATTGGATGTGGATGGGATTCTAGGTATCTTCAGTAGCTTGTGAACCTGCCAAACAAACCAGTGAACAAGTTGTCAGCTCCAGAATGTAATGATGGGGCAAGAAGAAGTCGTCAGCTCTACACATCCCGCCCCCATTCAAAATGGAATACATAGGGAGCAGGAGAAAGAATTCTTCCATAGTACTCTCAAATCCCATCAGGTCTCCAGTCCAGGAGCAGCCTGTGGAGGGTCTGCATCGTGGGATGCTGTTCTCTGCCTTAGGTCTTGTCTCCTTCATAATGGATAGTAGCACATGTTTGCATCTGGTAGTTACATCATTTTGTTTCTTGTTCATAGAATTTGGATGGCTTTATTGCATTGTTTCATTTTTTTCAGGACATAGTTGTGAAAAGTATGTCTCTCATTTTATTATACTCAGCAAGGAGTAAACAGCTAACCCAAACAGAATATACCTACACTACTGTAATAATATTGACGTGTTACTGTTATTATAATATGTAAAAAGATGAAGCCAGTTCATCTGAATAGCCAAGTTGTGCCTTGTAAGTTGGCTTTTAACAGGACCCAACTCAATAAGCTTTCGAACACTGTGTGGTGAAGATTCCCTTTACTCTTGTTCCTATAAAATGACCTTTCCTTCCATGCTGGTATTCTGTGCTACCTTCAAAGTACTCGGGTGTGCCCACAATGTGTGCATGAGCACCGGGGTACTTCTAAGATGACTTAATACAACCGTCATGTTTCTTCTGAGCCCTTGCTAGGAGAGAACTCAGTGTCGAGTCTACACTGAGCATGCCAGGGCAATTCAGACGACTGTATCATGTCAGGCATGTTTTACATGTCTCCACTGGAATTTTATGCATAGTACTATGAAAAGGGTATTGGTTGTAATTTTATATTCTGTAATCCTTCATAATTTATGGACCTAGGGAATCCTAAAATCACTGATTTCTGGCATTCTGTACTGACCCAGGATACTATGCTTAGTTTGTAATGTGAAAGATTAGCTTTTCTCTTCCCCCGCCTCCTCACTGAGGTTTGTCTTGATCATCTAGTCTAAATTAATCTTTCTTCCTGGTTGCACCATGTTGAAATCACAGACTTAAAGAAGATTGTTGGTTGCTTTGCTCTGTGGGATTGGCTCTCAGAGAATGAATCCGTGGGACTTGTTTACCATCTCATGGGGTGGCTGTAGTACCCCTCTCTTCATTATTGGTGACGGGAATACATGAGTCAACATTAAGTTTGATTAGTAAGCCTTGTGTGGAAAGAATTGACACATTTGTGTGGTATCTGGAGTAATTTGAATAAATTTTAACCCAGTATATCCCCATCTCTCTCTCTCTCTCTCTCTCTCTCTCTCTCTCTCTCTCTCTCTCTCACACACACACGCACATATATATATATATATACATATATATGTATGTATCTTGATGGTTAGAGTAACTCAATATGTAATAAAAGTTAGTTGGTGGTAAACTCTTGTTGCACAATCATAAAAATACTATGTGACTCTTGGTAAATAAAGTGAATAGAGAGAATGTGTTTGCTGTTATTTATTCTTAGTACTTTGTTTTGGACAACATTGTTATATGGTGAAGATGAATGTTTCTATTCTGCCAGGTCCCACAGCTGATTCACACCAGATAAACACAATGGTGCTATATTAATTATGAAATTGTTGGCCGATGGCTGGGGCTTCTTGCTGGCCAGCTCTCTCTTAATTATTAACCCATTTCTATTAATTTAAGTGGCTTCTTCACACTTGACTCCATAAAATGTATTCGGTCACATAAGGAGGCATGTACTATAGTAATTGTGTTACCAAGGGAAAGATGCTGACCACCAGGGTACGCTGAGAACTCAACAATGTCTTCTTTTTAATGATGCTTGTCCTTACGTGTGGTAGATATAAATGGCATTTATAAGGCATACCCTAAGGTTTTCTGCTCCTTCCTCTTGGAACTTGGATTTTGGTTTACAGTCCCTTCACTGGTACTACACCAGGGAAATACTTGTGCATTGTCTAGAAACCTGGAGAGATGAATTTTAAGAAATTGGATGGCTTTATAAATGATTTTATAGGATTTCTCTTCCATGTTATTACTCATTGATAAAATAAATGCTGTGGTTTTCTTGCATATTTTCATTCTAAATTTCTCTCTTTTTTTTTGAAATCTGTAAGACTGCATTATGAAACATCATTTGGCCAGATTCAGAAAAATGTGCCTTTCCCTAGGGGAGTTGATTCTATTTCAAAATATTTTAAATAATTCCAAAAGTTACCATATTTTTGATTCCCAATATTTTTTAAAAATATAACTTGAGACCTACCTACTGTAAATTTGCTTTTGGCGAGAGGAGAGGTATCTCTTGAAAAGTGGTAGTAGCATTTATTTAAATTATGAGTTATTAAACCTGTTAGTGTTGGTGCCTTTTGATAAACTGTAAGAAGAGTCCTGTGAAGTTCAGCCCGGAGTTCTAAAGAATGCTTCCTGCTTGCATTGCCTGCCTAAGGTAGGGTCCTGAGCTTTTAGTTTTGGAATTTATTTACCTAACCTGTTTTGTAATTCTCCTTCTTGGAAAGTTGCCTTGTATTTGGCAGTCTTCTTATTCTGTGTATCACAGTGTTTTACAGGCACAGGTCATGCAAATAAAGCTGCAGTGAGATCATTATAATTACAGTGGGTCTTAGAAGAAAACTCTTATATGACTCAGTGATCCTGATGTTAATCCAATTTAAGAATTAAAATTCATTTTTTATGTGATAAACATACATTAGTGACCTGACTTTTTGCAGATATTTGCAGTCACTTGGAACAAATTGCATGCCAGGATGTTTCACGGCTGATTGGTAAATTTGCTCTGTTGATGGGCAAGTACACTCTGCATTTGTACCCTCACTTGTCGTCACCTGCCTCAGCCGCCATGTCTCTCAGCTCCATCCTTTCTGACATCCTCATACTTCTTCAAGACTCCTGTGTCCTGGTCCTTAGACACTTTCATCTCCTGCTAATGTTAAAGTAATATGAGAAAAAGAAAGCCATCCATATATTTCTTAGTAATTTTAATTATTTTTTGTAAAACTAGATTATTTCTGGTTTTGCTTTTACTTTATCATAAATCGTAACTTAGTCAATTATGGATACATTATTTTTCCTTTTTGTGGTATTGCATATAGAACTGAAGTGTTTATGAATATTAAGCAAAGTTACATACCAAAGTTATATCCCTGTATAAACTTGTTTTTCTCCCTCTCTTGTATTGAATTGGGGTAGCAAATAGACCAGGTTTGCCTTGAACTCATTGTATATCCCAGATAGGCTTTAAACTTGTAGCCTTCCTATTTCTGCCTTACTAAAATTCGCTGGAAGTACAGACATGTACCTACCATATCTCATTAGATTATGGATTTTTTTAAGTGAAGTGTGTTTAAATTAAAGATTTTTTCACAGATCTGGAAGCTTTGAGAAATTATGTCAGACATGTAACCATACCTATCAGTATGTATTTGAAGAGGTAGTTGTATGTATTTTCTCTCCTCTTAGAGAAAATACTTTATATTTAGGTTGGACTTTTCCGTATCTCTGTGCTACTTCCATACCCTCATTTCATCTGGTCAGTGATAACCTAGCCTGCCTTTTAGATTAATTTATTTTAATGCTGATCTTTGTGCCATTCCTGGAAACCATTTCTAAACCCCTATGTTTACTTATTTGTCTCTTTTATTTTCCAGATTTTTAATTATTGTCTATTGTACATACATGGTTTGACTAGAGTGACCCCCAACTAAGAATCTAAGCAATAGTGGAGAGGCTACCTTAAATGCTCTTCCCTGATGAGATTGATGACTACCTTAAATGCCATCCTAGAGTCTTCATCCAGTAGCTGATGGAAGCAGAGGCAGAGAACCACAGCTAAACACTGAGCCAAACTCCTGGAATAAAGTTGCAGAGAGGGAGGAGTGATGAGCAAAGGGGTCAAGACCAGGCTGGAGAAATGCACAGAAACAGCTGACCTGAACAAGGGGGAACTCATGGACCCCAGACTGATAAATGGGAAACAAGCATAGGACTGATCCAGACACCCTGAATGTGGGTGTCAGTGAGGAGGCCTGGGCAATCTATGGGGCCTCTGGCAGCGGATCAGTATTTATCCCTAGTACAGGAATGGGTTTTCGGAGCCCACTTCACATAGAGGGATACTCTCTCAGTCTAGACACACGGGGGAGTGTCTAGTCCCTGCTCCAAATGATATGACAGACTTTGAAGATCCCCCATGGAAGGCCTCACCCTACCTGGGGAGCAAAAAGGGAATAGGATGGGGGGTTGATAGGTGGTAGGAGAGGAGGAAAGGGAGAGGGAACTGGGATTGACATGTAGAACAAGCTTGTTTCTAATTTAAATTTAAAAAAGCAAAAGAAAAGAAAAGATGGGTGGCCTGTTGTTCAAGGTGTCTCAAGGTAGAGTATATCCCTTAGTACCTTCCCGTAGCTCATGGGACCATGCATTACCTGAGTGAGCCCTGAGCATATTGTGATGGTTCTACTCTCCCGTCAGTCCTGTGGAATGCAAGGAGAGGTTAGGGTTTTCTAAGGTTCCTAATACCATATGTTCAAAGCCGAGGACAACATTTCTCATCCTTTGTTTAGACATTTTCCCCTCCCCCCACTTATTTTTCTTGATATGTTAGGTGTGGAAGTTGCTGGCACTATACTGAGGATCCTTATTGACTTTCATTGTTGAAATACCATAAATGGCAGCTAGGATAATTCTTATCTATTGGCAAACCCCATTGAATTGTCACTGTACCTGTTAGCACCCTATTTCTAGTTTCTGTTTCAGCTGGACAATCCTCTCTTTCTGTCTTGACTTTTGTGGATGCTATGTGCCTCCCCAGTTACTGTTGCTTCAGGGTCATTATGGGGGATCCCAGCTCTGAACTGTCTTGAATGCTTTGCATTTCCTGCCTCAGGAGAATCACTCACTGTGTCCATCATCACTCACAGGTACTGGGATGTTGGGAGCTGCAAGTTCAGCCCTTCCTGGCCACACTTCTCCACCAGACTGCATGGACCTCTTCCCTGGTCTGCCAATTAAATACTTCTAGAATTTTGGCCCAGAGGAGAAATGAAGAGAGTGGTCTGAGTCTGCCTTGCTTGTCCCCATCTGCCTCCTGCCTTTGCTACTGATTACCTCCCAAGCTTGTAGGCTCTGCCAAGAGGGTTGCCTGGAAAAGTAGGCCACTTGGATATTCTTCCATCTCCATCTGGATGACATTCATATCTGCTTCTTTCCCCATTATTCTTCTAAGTATGAAAGAGAGCGGAGACAAGACACCAGCAGAACAGCAGATTTCAAAACATTATCTTCTGTGTGTGTGTGTGTGTGTGTGTGTGTGTGTGTGTGTGTGTATCCATACATATGCATGTGTGTCTGTGTAGTGGTATGGGTGTATGTGGATCCCTCTGGAGCTGGAGTTACAGGTTTGTTGTTGGACACTTCATGTGGATTCTGGGAATATAGCTCAGGTTCCCTTCCACAGAGTCCTCTCTCCAGCCCTTGAATATTATATTCTCTATTGCCTGCTCTGAAGTTAGTTCTTATTTAAACATTCTTTTCCTCCTCAAATTCTTCCTCTTAACCACTTTCGCTGTATGACAAGTGCTATTGCAACTTTTCTAGAACTGCTTTTCTTAAACTTACAACGTGCATAGCGTAATTGAGCTCTCAGGTTCAGACTGCCACTCAGGAAGTGTAGGATTGGGTCTGAGATTCTGCATTTCTTCTCAGACTTGCAGGGGATGCAGGTGCTGTGGCCCGCAGGCCAGTCCATAGTATGAAAAGGACAACCCTAGAGGAAATGATCCTCCGGGCATTTCTACATTTATCCTCCTCATAAGTACTTTGCAAGGTTTGTCTTCTTTTTCCACAGTCGTGAAACCTCATGAAATCTCATCAATAGGGTTTAACAAGCGCCTTTTATAAAGAGAGCCCTCATTATGTGTCTTATGTTGACATATGCACTCATGTGTTTGTCAGTGTCTCTCATGCTTAAATGTTGTTGTCATGCTATACATTTCTGATATGAATCTAGAGACTAACGTGAGTAGTGTTATCCTACATGGAAACATGCACTTCCTGATGACTGACCCAAAATTATAATTAAGTGACATCAATCTTCCATTTCTATGTGTGGAAAAACTTTCAAGTGAAGTCCCTTGGTGATAAGACCATTCAGGTCTGGCTTGAAGTGTCCCACCTTGTTTTTAATGACTGTTTTCTTCTGTCTGTGTTCATGATGAAATGTCTTTGTTGGGCAGAAATAAGGGACACTTGCTCTTTGGTTGAATGTTGGGTTCTCCCGTAGTTTCTGCTAAAATCTGGATTACCAATGTAATAACTAAGCATGGAATGCATCGGAGGTACTAAGGCCTGAATTTAGCAGGGGCATCGGACCTTCATCACAAGATGGAAGCAGACAGTGACAGCTTCTCCTCTTGGGTTTCCAGCTTGCAGAAACTGGAAGGAATAGATACTTCCCAGACATTCAAAGCTGCTTCGTCTGTTTCTGGTGTCAGGACAGCCCAAACTGAGACTTTAGCTAAGTGCGAGCATGCTGAGAGACAGCTGAAGAAGTTTATAGTAATTGACCTTGAAGTGCTTCATCAGCCCATGTTTATCCATAGCTAATTTTTTTCTAATCCAAAGTTTCGGCATAATGTTTCATTGCATCCTGAAGGGAATTCTGAGCTTACAACCTACCTATCTTCTCATTAATAATTTTAAGTACTGTTGATCAGATGTAGCCATTTTCATCAACTTCTTTCATTCCTAAGAATCATTTACGGACTGGGTTGACCAGGAAGTTAGTCGAAACATGTGGTTCTTAAACGCATGGAATCCATTTAACAAACATTTATAGAATGCCGACTCTAAGGCTCGCAGGCTCCAAATGTCTTGGAATGGAACAGTCTTTGTGAAGCTAATAAGAGTTAGAGAAAGCAGTCTTAAACATTTGCGGTCAAATAAAGCAGTCTAGCTATTTTGGCCTGTTTTATTATTATAACCCATTGCACAGATTATGTAACCTCTCTGATGTTAGTGATTGCTGCCTTCCTCTCTTGTTGTAACATTGTCTGCTACCTTGGTTATACTTGGGGCCCATGTTCCTGGGTGTTAAGTTCCTAGGTTAATGGTGTTGGGCTGTTACAAGGTTTGTGCTCATAGGCAGATGTGGAGAGCTGCCATGGTGCTGTAAAATGCGTTGTCAACTCTTACATATAGGGTACCAGGGTCCCAAACACTTAACTTCTTGTTTTCTTCCCAAAAAGATTTCACAGATAAACCCAGACTTTGGTATTGTAGGCCAGTGCCTGACACCTTGGGTATCCTCTCTTCCTGTGTTCTCACACCTTGCCGTTCCCTGAGCCTTCCTACTCCTCTTTTGGAATGTGATCTCCTCCACCTCCTTTTCCATTTTTACCCGAGTCTGTCTGTCTGCCGCAATGGGCTCCTACCCTGTCTTCCTGCCTGCACGCCTTCAGCCTGCTGATGGACAGCTTTGATGGACAGCTCCCGATGGACAGCTCTGATCTTATCAGTAGCTGCTCAGAAGTCCCTAGTGGCTTCCATTCTTTACGGAGCACCACCCTAATTATTATCCTGGCAATAGAGACTCTGTGTGGCTTGGTTTTCCACTCTGCCCCTGCATATTTCCCATGACTAGGCCTTGCCACTCTCCAGCCCTTCCCTTGTTTGAATATGATGTCAAGCATACCGGATGGCTCTGATCTCCGTCCCACAGGCCTGTTCCTCCCTTATCTTGTTCCTCTTCCCAGGACGTCTTCCCTGTTCCAGCCCTGCCTATGTAAATTCATGAACAGAATTTGAGATTTTTTCCCCAATATTCAATGCTGGACCCTTAATAAAATAATTTTCATTGATTCTTAATAATGATTTAGATATGTTTCAAAGTTATTTGAATATATATATACATATAAATATATAAATTAATGAAAACATATAATTAGGTCGAGGAGTTAGGTAACTGCAAAGCCAAATAACTGCATGCAAATTATGAAGTAGACCAGTTTCCTTAGCACCATATGCTCTGTGCTAGGTGTGATGTCACACAGGCCTAGGCTTCTTTGCATGTTCCATGCCTACTCCCAAATGCCAGAAGCCTCTGTACTCTCCTAGTCCTCAGATTGCAAAATCCTCGTTCCTAAAGTGGTTCCACCTTCTTCAGTAGAATAAATTCTTCCTTGAGGCATCATCTATGATATGAAAAAAAAAAGGCTTATTACTGTACCTCCATGTGTCTCTCTCTCTATTTTGGTATTAAACACACACACACACACACACACACACACACACACACACACACACACACACTCACACACACACACAAGAAAGCAAATAACCACCACAAAACAGTCCATGTGAACCTACCTTTAAATTACCTAAATGCAAATCATCAGTTAAACTACTAAGTAAGTTACTGTCTCTTGTGGGACATGATATGGATTATATGTATCCAAACTTGTGTCTAGAGTGAATCCATCCCTTGAGAAATTTAGTGGCAAAGAGACCAATGAAACCTCACCTATGGAAAGAAGGGATGTGAGCTGGGGAGTGGGATCGAAACTTGTACAGGAGGGAGCCTGAACCCCAGCTTGTGAGCTGTTAGCCATTTAGTATTCTGCCTTCTAAAGGTGACTGGCAAATATGTAATGTCCAAGGCCTGGAGGGATGACACCAGTTTGGTTCCTAGCACTTAGACTGGATAACTCACAATTCCTTTAACTCCATCCCCGGGGATCTTACGCCTCTTTTGGCCACTATGGGCGTCTGCATGCATGTACACATACACAAACACACATACATGCATAAGTAAAAATAAAGGAAACCTTATATAAAAAAAGTAAAAAGCATTTTGTCTATATGTTTCCTTTTCGTTGATTTTTTTTAGATGTGTGTATATACTTTCCCCTGTATTTCTTATTCTTTCTCATGATTCGTATTTCCTTCAGTTTTTGTAGAGCTAATGTAAATAGTGTTAGTGTCATGTTACAAAGCAGGAAACTGAGACTGACAGGTAATTTATTTACTCAGGATATAAGGCCAATGAGCTGCCAGAATGGGTCTTATATTTCTTCAGGTCTGACTTCCATTTTTTTAACATCTTGATGTTGTTTTTCTAAGTACTTTCCTATGTTAGAATCTGAGAAAAGCTTTCTTATCTTACTTCGAAATATGGACATTTGCAACTGTGAATGTAAGGGTCTCTTACTTATACGGACAAGGATTGGCAGAGTATATGCTAAGCACTTATTAATTGAATAGGTTAATAACAATGACAGCTAAAAAATAAATACGTGACTTAACCTGAGTAATAACATATGTCTAATCTGGATTTTTAAAAAGTGCGAATATATATTTATATTCTTTATATATATGCATATAAATATGCATTAAAATAGAATAGAATGGGTTGCTTTTTAAAATCAGAATATAAAAAAATTAATTGCAGAATAAAACTGGAGTTTATATACATTTAGTCTCATGTCTTACATCATCAGTATCTAGGGCTGAAATATTCAAAATAAAAAGTGAAATTTATTTAAAAGAAAAACCTGAGGCAATTTCATGTCCTGAATCTTTGAAGGGAAACTTAATTATACTTAATATACTGTATTTACTGAGGAGAGACTCTAGACTGCTCCATTTAATTTTTTTTAAACATGAATGACTTTTCCATTAATCAAGGAAGCAAGAATACTGAACTTGTAAGAGTTTGGCACAATGTAGGAGTATCCATGTCCTAGCATTCTGGTTTCTACCAATTTTTGTGATGGAGATTTAAAGAAGAAAGATTATATTAATGAAGTTTGTGACTTTAGCCTCCTAAGGGATTGAAAGGCACATTTTGACTTTGTATCCCTTCTTTTTTGTGGCCATAATAAAGTTTTACATTCTAGGTTTAATGTTTTCCTTGTGAAATATAGGTCTTAAAATTAGCAACTGAAAGTAACACATTGTTTTCTAATAACGTCCTGAGTGTGCTTGAAAACTGACTTGATTTTGACTATTACATGTAAATTAAAGACATTTTCAACAGTGATTTGACTAGGAATAGTAGTGTGTCTGTGATACTGTAGGAGAAATTAGTGGGATTGTTGTGAATCAAGGCAGGGGCTTGGGCAGGATGTTCCTTCCATCACAAACACTACCATGATGGGAGTACAGAAAAGAATATTTCTTTTGACTTTGAGAGGTCATACTTGTCAATGACTTTAGCATTCCAACCACACAGCCTTAGATATCTGTCCCCAAATGCCATTGTGAAGAGCTAGCTATACATCCTTTGTTCTGTTGTCAAGGAGAGGGAAATGAAAAAACCCAAACAGACACGATTGAACAAGTTCAGGGATGTAAGACGGTGGTGCGAGGGTCTGTGCCTATCTTATTATATCTTCTTATGTCATCTTTGGCTCTTACCTCTGGAGGCCTGCTCTACTCTTCAGGGAAATGGAGGAGAGGGGTGGGTCTGGGGAGAGGAGGTTGTTAGAGGCCAGGATGTAAAAATGCCAACATGATGCTGTTTTCTTGTTTGTGTGTAGATTATTGTATTTTCTAAATCTTGGTATTATCTTTTGTGACTTCTGTTTCCCTGTTATACCCAGACATATTTCAAGCATAAATTCCCATAGAAACCAGCTACGGTTAGCGGCTAAGTTAATTTTTTAAGGAAATAAATAGAAGGGATACTTTATTTTAGTTATTATTTTATGACTTTACTGTCCTGTGGCTGGGTGATGGGCTGTTTTTTAAGCATCTGTTCGGGTTTGATGAATTTTCTGCTGTGAGGACTAGGATTGATCTTGGTACCCAGGGACTAGTTGCGTTTATCCAAGACAGTGAAAGGAGCAGTTCTGCATGGTATACCTGAGCATGACTTTCCAGACTGGGAATTCCGGTATTCTAGTTTTTAGTTTGAATTTTCACACACACACACACACACACACACACACACACACACACACACACACCCATTTTGAACTTGAGGACAATTTTATCAGATGTTTATTTATAAAGAAAAAAGCCCAGGCCACACACACTATAAATCTTGGCAACTTCCTGTAGGAGGTACATACAGAGGATTAGGAGGAGAGCAAGTCATGTCCTTTAAGTTGAGCTGTCCATGTGCAGACAACAGCCTCGTACTGGGGAGGGAATTTACTAGAGTACCTTTACACAGGCTCATGAGGATAGAAAATTTAATTATTACATTCTCCATGAGGGTTTGTTTTTCCTTATTTATATTGAAGGGATCCATGAATAGATTCCAAGTTTGATGTAGAACTATATGATATTACTTGAAAATGGCATTACCCCCAAGTAGCAAGAACTTAGATGGTTTCAATGGTTCTAACTGGAATTCTGGGATCAGCAGTTCTGGGCTGTGCTCCAGAATTATGAGAGGAATATACTTGTGAAAGGCTTGGATTTATAGTTTAGTAGGTCACAGATAGAGTATTTTTAAAAGGAGGATATTTTTCTATAGAATATGTTTTTTACCTTAGTGACATATACTCAGGTTATAGCTATGACATATTACAGAAAATGTGGATTGATGTATTGGCCATTATTTTCTTTTAGCCTGCTTTAAACTTGTCTTAAATGTCCTGTCCATGTTTTAGTTACAAACTGTAACCAAAGTGCAGAGATTTCTCCGCATTACTGACTTGGCATCTGGGATTGTGTAACTTTTTAACTTCCAGTGCTTCTCTTGTTAGAAGGAAAATCTTGGTCTGCTTCGTAGTCACTGTCCTTGAAGAAGGACAGAACATCTGAGTTCACATATCCTGTTCTTTAGGGCTAGTATGCTTGCAATCAAAATGGTTTTCTTCTAGTACCAATAAGAAAGTAAAATTTTCTCTATCACACCAGTTTCAAGAGATGTTTAATTCTCACTTTGAACAGACAGTATAATTATGCATAATATTTATTTTGCTGTGTGCATGGCCTGTGATAATTGACCATTTCAGAATTGGGTTATTAAAGATTTTTTTTTATTCTGGAATAAGATGATTTCATCACAATTAAAGAAAATGCCCTAAATAGTTCTTTAAATATATCTCGTGTAGTCTGGTTTTCAAGACTGCATGCGTAGTTATTAAGATGTCAAAGTTAGTGAGTAGGCTGGTGTCTTTATTATTAAAGATCAGTGATTATAATTGAGGTTTTGAAATTTTAAGTAGCAGTGGTATTCCAGGAGGAATGATAGCAGAGTTATGCAGTTATAGTTTAGGGGGAAAAAAGAAAAAAAATTCAGTGTCACTGAGCAGACAATTAGGAAGCTAATGTACCCACCAGCGAGCAAGACTGCCTTTCCACTCTGACAGGAGGAAGGAAGAGCTCTTGCTGCAGGCTTTGCTTGTCTCAGGATGCTGTGTTGATGTGTGGAACCACCCCAACTCTGCTGGAGTCCCCGCACTGCGTTTACCAGACATGTGTTGTGGGCTTGCTCTGAAGATAGGAACGCCAGCAGGGAAAGAGGATTCTCACACTGTGATCTCACAGTGGGGGAGGGGTGCCATCTGTGAGGAGAACAACTCCAGAGTGTGTGGTCACCTCTCGGGGAATAGCAGGGGGGTTTACAGACCAAAGTGGAAACATTGTTGTCTAATTAGGCTTTTTACATGTCTTTAATCACAGCCCTGGGGAGACAGAGGCAGGATCTCTGTGAGTTCGAGGGCAGTCTGGTCTACAGAGTTCCAGTACAGCCGGGACTACACAGAGAAACTTTGTCTGGGAAAACAACACAAAACAAAACAACAACAACAAAAAAAGGCATA